TTTGCAATTTGGATGAATGTAAGTTAATGAAGAATTACTTTTTTTTATTTTTTTTATTTGGGTTAGGAATGATGAATGTAGGATGAATGCAAGTTAATCATGAATGTAGATTTTAAACGATTTGTTTGGATTACGAATTGATTTTGTTGTGTTTTTTTATTTTATAAGTTTTTTATAAGTTTTAATTTATTAATTATTAATGTTGGAGCATTTTAGAAAATGGAGGGAAATGGTCCAAAATAAATATTGACAAAATGAAAAAAAGAAAAAAAAAAAAGTTCAAAAATAAATTTTTGAAAAAAAGTCCAATCTGCAAACCGCCCGCAACTGCCTGCACATCCGCACAAACTGTAAACCGCACTGCAGGCTATTGCGGGTTAACTTTTTCCCAAACTGCATAGACGTAGGCAGGTCCAAACTAAATCACAAACTGTCCCAAACTGAACCACAAACATCCCTAATAAAAATGGTCTTTCTCTTTATACTTTCTCTTTAAGCTTTTCAAGCGGAGGCATTTTCCATTCATTTTTATTTATTTTTATTAGTCTTACATATGCAATAATAAAACATTAGACTTTGTTACTTGGTGACATAGATAGACGTGAGATTTCAATATAGAGGGTAGGGATGGCAATTTGAACCCGGCCCGACGGGGACCCGGCCCCCCGTCCCCGATAAGAACGGTTTTTCCCCGAAAAATACCCCCGACGGGCCGGGGATGGTATTAAAAAATAAATCCCCGGTGACATTCGGGCCGGGGACGGTGATATATATTTCATCCCCGGCCCCGACCCCGCCCCCCGCCCCGGTCAGCCCCCCGATTTATATATATATATATTATATATATGTTACACTCTCTGACACGCTCTATCTCACACTCTCTATTATTTTTAATCGTAGGTTCCATCCTTGTTGTTTGGCTCAAACCATAAGAAAAAGAATAATGCTAAAGACTCAAAAAATTCTACTAAAAGTTCTATTAAGGCCTCGTTTGGGAACAGGTTAATTTAGTAATTTTTTAGCTATTTGGCTAAAATATGAGCTAAAAAAAACTAGTATATTTGGGATGACTTTTTGGCTTTTTACGAAAAGATATGCAAAAAGTAGAGAGAAAATAGAATCTTTGACTTTTTGGTATAGGTTGTTGGCTTTTTGGCTAATTTAGTAACTTTTTGACTTTTTGGCTAAAAATGAGAGTTCCCAAACGAGGCCTAAATATCTCACATGGGTGTGAGACTCACACTCGTGTGAGACATATGACGATCCACATTCATGTGAGATATTTAGTAGAATTTTTAATAACATTTTTGAAATATCTAACATTTTTATAAGAAAAATGGTCCATTTGCAACGAAACATCTACGGCTCCGTTTGGTGGAGTTTTCAAAATCTAGTTCCACACTCACTTTTGAGTATGGTGTTTGTTTAGGGTTTTCAAATCATAATTCTACACTCATTTCTCAAAACTCAATTCAAAATATATCCACACTGATAGTCATGTTTTGGTTGGTCCCATGACCGACAATTAGCTTCCATGTGTTTGGTTTCGACTTTATTCATACGGTTAGGTTTTTTCATTTTATTTTATTTATTTATTTAAAGTATTGCCATTTAAGTTTAAAAATTAGAGATAATTTTTAAATTTAAGTGGTAATTAATTTGAATATTTAAGACAAATTTCTAATTATTAGTCAATCATCTTTCTTACACAACATTAGGTTTAGAAAATAAGTCTAAAAAGTAAGACTCTAACATTTTTAAAAAAGTAAACTTCTATATCATTTTCCGTTTTTCTAAGTTGTTTGGTAAATAAAAAATTTACTGTTGGACCAAAATCTTAAGTTTTTTTTGAAAAGAAATTTAGAATTGAAAAAAAAAAAATAGTTTATATTTTATTAACGTATACATCGTGTTTTTTTTCTTCGCCCTTGCAAATACTTAGCTAAATTCATCATTCAAATACAATTTTAAAACTGATCACATAGTTTAAGTTTTTAATTTTTTTTATTTAATAATGTAATGAAAGTTAATTTATAAGAGATTTTAAGGATTTTATAAAACGAAGGGTGATGCTACTTAGACCAAAAATGTAAACCTCGGTTTCAACTCGGATGATGTGGCATTGCCTTAGAATATCAAGAGAATTACATATTAGTTGTAGTTAAAAAATATATATATTTATAAAAAAGTGATAAACATTATAAATATTAATAATTAAAATTGTAAACTTTTTCACTGCAGTGTAATAATTTTTCAAAATTGACTCTGAATAGTAATTTCCTATAGAATATCTAAGCTAACTCCATCTCTCATATCTTCTCTAATTATCAACCAATTATTTTACTTTCACATCATTGGGTTTAGTCTAAAAAATAAACTTGTAGGTGATGCTATTTAGACGAAAAAATTAGACCTACTTTTTAAACCCAATAATGTGGTATTGCCTTAGAATATCTAAGGTAATTTTCTCTCATATCATTTCTAATTGTCAACTAATCATGCTAATTACATGAAAAATGATATACAAAGTCCCTTTTCAAACCGTTCGATCCATCATTTCTTTCTTGGGTGATTATTCAGTAATTCAGGAGTAGAGACACATAATGCTCTATAATATTATGATTGACGGAAAGGTAAAGTATTGATTATTTGTGTTGTATGATTCAGAAATATGGAGAGATATAATAAATAATATTTGGTGAGGGAGTATGGCTACGTGATATTCTAAGAGGATAGATAGATATGTATATATATACACAAATAAATACTATAGACCTTTTTATATGATTATGTTGTGTATGTATAAATAATGATACTATTAGAAACCATAAGAGGGTGGGTGGTTTGCATCTGTAGAAAAAACTGGGTTTGGGACCACAAATATAAATTGTGTTGGATCTAGAATTGAATAAGAATTTTTCAGAAGGAAAAATGAAAGAAAAGTGACAAAAATTTAATTGATATTTTCTTCATGTCTTCATTTTTTTTTTTAATCATTATATAGGGAAAATATCATTTTGCCTCCTAAACTTTCGTGCATTTTTAATATGATCCCCAAACTTCGAATCATATCAATTTTACACCCAATCTTTCAAAATTTTGATCAATTTGACCCCTAACATTATGTTCCCTTTATAATTGGACAAAATGTGCTGATGTGGGACAAATTGAATTTTAAGGTATATTATGGGTCAAATTGATCAAAATTTTGAAAGTTTGGGTGTAAAATTAATATTAATCAAAGTGTGGGGATCAAATTAAAAAATGCGTGAAAGTTTAGAAGGCAAAATGATATTTCTTCCATTATAAATTTCTTCTCAAGTCTTTGAACTTAAGACAACTTCTCTCTCTTTCCTAGTATACACGAGTGACGAAGATCTTTTTTTTTTTTTTTTTTTTCATCCTCGAATCATTTATTTTTTTAGCCGGTGACACAAGGTAGCATTATACTCAATATTTGTTCATTCTCTTACTCTCTTATGTTGTGTTTAATTTATGGGTTTAGAAAGATATTTAAAAGGAGAAAGGGAAAATGAATGTAAAAGTAAATACAGTGTAAGTATTTTTTTTTTTTACATTTCACTTATCTTTCTTTTCCTCAAATCTTTTTTCAAATTCAAGAACCAAACACATCCTTAGGAAACCAACAATTTTTACGTGGAGCCGCTATTTTACAACCTTTAGAGGCTAATCGCCATCCACCCCATTCACACACAGGGACCGTGCATTTACAACCTTAAATATACAAGAACTGGGATTTGGCTGGGATTTGGTTCGGTTTGGTATGTTTGCTATTTAGGTAAAAAGCTTTTACCTAATCAATAATATCTATTTTATTATTTTGAATATTGATACAAGCTGTTTTTTCTATCAAATCGCATCGAACCACACCAATTGAAAACAGTTCAGTTTGGTGCGATTTGATTGGTTTAGTATCATTCAAATTTAAGCCATTTTTTAGTCTAGTCATTTGTCAACCATTTCAAACATATCCTATCAATCCATTTAATAAATATTTTATAATTTCTAAATTAACAAAACAAACAAAAGCTAATAATAAATATTATGCATTGGAGAGACAGTTTAACATTTAGTACCGAAGCAATTTATAAAGCACAGGCTCCGAATGTTATTTTCTTCTCTTATATATTTTTTTAATTCATTTATGTCTCTCCCCTTTTTCTTTATTTTTTAATTTTTTCTTAATATTCCGTTTTATCTTTGGGATTTTTATTGATAAATTCTATTTAGAAATGTTCTAACCCAAAAAGTCAGAATTTTTTAACCCACTTAGTCCCATGTATTTATATTTTTATTCCATAAAGTCTTTTTTCTTAATTTATATTATTTTCTTAGACTCTTATGCCCTTACATTTAATATTGATATTTAATGTTGGGGGAGGAGAGAGAAGGGAAAGGACAAAAACATAGAAAATTTCATACACAAATTAAATAACATTGATGTTATTATTTTATATTATTATATAATGTGAATATATTTTTAATTGACAACACATTAAAAGTAATGTGAACATTCTCCCTCTGATGTGAACATTCACAACACCTTCTCTAAAAAATTCTTTCTCATCTAATATAGTGATGTGAACTTCACAACATGTGAATCTTTTTATTTTTAATTGACAACACATTCTTATTCACAACATGTAATATGTGAACATTCTCTCTCATCTAATGTAGTGATGAGTAAGGATCCTCGACCGCACTTTCATGTGGCCCTCTCTGCCACCCTTGCCAAAACGACGTCGTTTTGTTAAGTCCCCCCTCCAAAATTTGATTTTCCCGCTTGTTTATTTCACTTTCATCTTCGTCACTATGTTTAGCCCTAACCATTACGACATACAGAGCTGGACAAAGAGAGAGAAGAGAGGTGCAGCTGGACAAAGAGAGAGAGACGATTGGCGAAGACCGCAAGATGATTGGCGACCGGAGAGACGATCTGCGGGATCTGCGAAGACGGAGAGAGAAACGAACTGTGAGAGATGGTGGAGGAAGGCGACGGTGATGGACAGAGGATGGCGAAGGGACGCGAGTCCGGCGGCGACGCGACGGCGGCAAGTCGATATTGCAGCCATGACAAGGTCCATTTCATCTCTGTTTCATTTTTGGGCCGCTATATATATATACGTACATATACCAGGGATTTTTGTTCCATTTAATCTCTGTTTCATTTCGACATTATTTTATACATATATACGTATTCAGCCTAGGTAGGCTCTGTGCACCCACTTAGTTGTGTAAACTGCCAATGTAGAAGCTGCCCCTTAAGCTTATTGATTTAAGTGATTTGATTTATTGGGTATTATTGGTTTATATAAAATTGAAGTTTTGAAGCAAAAATATGTTATGGTTTGGTCAATTTGAAGCAAAAAACTGTTTTGATGTAATAGAAAAAGCCAAAAAGGAGGTAGAAAGTTGGTAGATCATTTTTTATTATTACTAGTGGTGTTTGCCCAACTGATGTGTTTGCCCAGCTGCTAGTGTGTGCTAGTGTGTGTTCTACTTCTGTATTGAAAATCTGAACTTTCATTGATGCTCTTATTTTGTTTTTTACAGATTTTGGATGTAGAAGGGGAAAAATGAGAGGTAAAATGAAGATAGAAAGATAAAGGGTTTGTTATTTAATCTGACTTATTTATTTAGGTCATGGGAGATTGCCCTTTTTACAATTCCTTAAGTTTCATCCGCAGACTCTGGTCTTGTTTAACCAATTTGAACTGACTAGTGGAAAATGTGAATGCAGAGGAACTCAGTGACCATGAAAGTAAGCAGCGACATGATCAAGGAAATGTATGAAGAAGCAGAGAAGGTTTGGGTTCTTGAAATGGTTAAACTCATGAAAGAAACAAAGGAACCATTCATAAATGTCATATATGATTGTGATCCTTTAGAACAAATAGTTTGGGACAATGTTGTGTTAGTTGGGGATGCTGCTCATCCAATAACCCCGCATAGCTCAAGGAGCACAAACATGGCAATATTAGACGCAGCAGTTTTAGGCAAGAGCCTTGAGAAGCAGGGAGCAGAAAATCTGCATTCAGCACTCGGAGAATTTCAATCCATACGGCTTCCAGTTGTTTCGAAGCAAGTACTGCATTCTCGGTATGTGGGTCGCATCAAACAAGGTTTAGTTCTTTCTGATCGCAACCCATTTGATCCAATGATAGCAAAGCCAGAGGAATGACAAATACTTCTGCAGAGAAGCGTGCCCTTCCTTGGCGATGCTCCTTCAATATTACTTTAGACAATATGTTCCATTTGCTTGAGAAGCATTGCCCTTGAACTTCTTATCATCCGCTGCTTTCATTGTGTTGTAACCAATAATGAACATGAGTTGTATGTATTCATGTATTATAAATTGTACTTATATAGATGCATGTATAATGATGGACTGGAATTGAAGAATTTACTTGAGAGAATATGATTGGTTTTTGTAGATTAACTTCTCACTGTAATAGATTTTTCTGATGTGGGTGATTTGTGATGCCCTCTTGACTTGAGATTATTTGAATTCTTTCCACACATCCTTCAAACACAATTTTTTTTTTTTTTTTTGTGGAGGCATGGGGTGGTGTAGCATGAAAATATACAAGTCAGATTAAATAAATAAGCCATGACCTCTTTTCTTCTTCTTTCTTCTTGCGCATCCACATTGAAAAATATGATAATCAATTGTACGAAATGCTTTGTATATAATAAGAATTATGTGAAACAAGACTTCCAACGTACATTTATAAATCTATGTATGTAGACTCATACTATAAAAAGACTTCCAATGTACATTTATAAATCTATTCCCTTCAAAGTCACAATTTTGGACAGTAATAAATCTTGAAATCCTTTCACTCAAATTCCTTCACTTGCACCTTTTCCAATTCAGTCTTTCTAACATCATGAAATTATTGATAATGACCTGTCTTGCAATCTTTCATCCCAAGCAGCAGTGGTGGGAAAGCATGCCACCTAAATGTAGGAGCATTTTATGAAACAATCAGTTTATTACAACTAAACACAAAATTGAAACAAATATCTAATTTTGTTTATTCTATCATACTTATATAAGAGAGATGCTTCCAATATTTTAGACCTTTCTAACCAGAAACAGATAACTCCAGAATAACAATGCTATTGAAATTGTTAACTAGAGTTGGCATCCTATCAGAAAATAACTTATTTAAAAATCTGAGGAGGTGTTTGGTAGAGTTTTGTAATTATGATTTGAGAGTATGAGTTGTATTTTGAGTTTGTGAGGTTTGGAATTATGATTTGAGTGTAGAAAATTTGTTTGGTAAAGAGTTTTGAAAATAGTTTTGAAAAGAGTTTTGATTTGAGTGGGAAATTGTTGATGTGACATTTGATATTTGATACAAAAATTTACAACTCATAACTAAACATACAACTCAAAATTATTTTAAAGCACAAAAAATTTTAAAAGTCTCAAAAAATGCTTTTTTCGATTATATAAAAATTAACATATCAAAAAAAAAAAATACTATTCCGGTCAACCAGCCGGACGACCGGTTAGGCAAAATTTGCAAAAAAAAAATTCTGAAAAACACGGCTGGTACAGACTTCTCTGCAGAGTTTTGGAAACGTGTTTCCAAAACACGTTCTAAACACCGTATTCAAAACTCAGTGTTGAATCACCTTTTGAAAACATAACCAAACAGAACCTGAAATTCTCTAATGAGATTCTACTTGAATAAGGGCTCTTTCATAGCTCTAAAAGGCTCTTTCCTCTTTTCTTTTTTCTTCATATCAAAAGCAGACTCATGCAAAGGCTCTTTCCTCTTTTCTTTTTTCTTCATATCAAAAGCAGACTCATGCAGTCTTGCAGGTGAGACACAGAATAATGCAGGCACATTACAATTTTCACCATTTAATCCAACAGAATGAACCACATACCAATATTAACATAAACATAATCATTGACCTTAGCATAGAACTCAGCATCCCAGTGCTCCACCACATGAATAAAAAACAACTTTGTCTTTTTTGGTTGCTCTTCATGAGCCTCTATGTGATTGTTCTGAACAAAGAAAAGAGAGAGGTCATATATTTTCTCCATGGACCATTCCAACTAACTGCCAACTTAGTGTATCATCAATGAGATATAAATTTATAGCATGGCATTTCAATTATTATTATTTTTTTTTTTTTGGCATTTCAATTTTATTCATATATAAATGCAAGCATGCACATGCATGTGAGTGCGTGAGAGCACACAATAGGGACGAAAGGGACTTCATTGGTCGCTGCCAGAGTCGTCTACCGGAGTCGCATCAGAGCATACTGATCATGAGAGCTTGTTGAGAAGAGACTCATTAGGTAGGAGTTAAAAAACAGAATGTGTATTATTTTCAAAGTGTTTTTGGGAATTAAAAATCACAGAAGCAACTAAACTGGACAAAGAAGAATAAGCAGCAGCAGCAGCAATGGCTGGCTACTTTTCAATTTACACCCAACAGTAAAAGAGGAACTAAAATCAATCCGGAATTGGGTCTTGCCATTGATGACAAAAAGTAAAAATTAGCTAACACTAATGTGTTTCACTCCACATTAAAGACAATGAAAGGGTTAAATGGCCATTGGAAACAAATCATTTCCCCCAATTCCATCCAACTGCAAGACAAAATTTTTAAGAACAATTGAGGATTATCACCATCCAAAATGATAATTCTAGCATTGAATCTCAAAACCCAGATCAAAATCTTCAAGAATTGTCAGAACACATCAAAATGAATCATACCCATCATATAAAAATCACAAATTTCAACAAATCATATACCGTTCAATTGACATAAATATATAAATTTATATACATGAGCGTTATACCACACCTAAACCACCTCTACCAGTGATAGCAAACAAACAAAAACCCACAAATTCAAAATCAATTCAAAACAGATAAATTAGGAACAGGAAAGGAAAAAAAAAAAAAAACCTACAAACTCGATTAGTCATTAACAAAGATGAAGAAGAGAAAAATTAAGAAAGCCCAAGAAAGAATGTGAGGGAAAATAGAAAAAAATCACCTGGGATTTGGGTTGGAGAGACAAGTGTGGGAATCGGCTCAGCCTCTCGCCGCCTCTCTCTGTTCGTCTGTCGCCGCCTCCAGTCGCCTCACCGCCGCCTCTCCTCGCCTCCGTCGTCTCGCTGGGAAATCGGCTCAGCCCTCTCCGTTTGTCGCCTCTGTCGTCCAGATCGTCGCCTCTCTGTTCATCTGTCTCAGAGGCTAGGGTTTAAAAACGAAAAAGGGGCTGAAAACCAAATAAGGGGAAAAAAAAAAAAAGGAATTAAAAAAAAAAATTACTCCCTCCGTCTCAAAATATTGGTCCTTTTTGGAGAATCCAACTTTTTTTGGTAGTACACAACCAAATAAGGGGAAAAAAAAAAAAAAGGATTAAAAAAAAAAATTACTCCCTCCGTCCCAAAATATTGGTCTTTTTTGGGGAATCCAACTTTTTTTGGTAGTACACTTATTGGATTTGAAAAAAGTTGATTTTCCAAAATTACCCTTTTGATAGTACATTTTTTGGGAATATCAATGTCATAATTGTACTTTTTAAATTGTTTATTAATTTAAAAGAAGGGCAAAATAGGAAATTTACATTATTTTGTACTTGATTTATAAAGAGTGACTAATATTTTGGGATAATGAAAAATGGAATAAGGGACTAATATTTTGGGAAGGAGGGAGTAGTGAAAATGACATCATTTTGGCAGGCGGTAAAGAGGGCCGTAGGAAATGAGGTCAGATGATCCGGACTCATGTAGTGATGTGAATATTCATATTTATGTATTTTAATATGAATATTTATATCATGTAATTGACAACATAATGATAAAAATTTATTTCAAATTAATGTGAATATTCATTTCAATTACATGATGTGAATATGCACATTATATAATTGACAAGACAATGACAAAATTTTATTTAAAATTAATATGAATATAATGACAGTCAACATCTTGATGCATGGGAATTATCAAAATATAATGACAATCAACATTAAATATCAATATTAATAGGGGACATGAGAGATTGAGTATATTTTGGTCTTCTTACCTCAAATAGGATCTAATAGAATAATTAAAAAAAATATAGGCTCGATAAAATAAAACTCTTAAAAAGAAGACTTATCAAAAAAGCTCCCTTTATCTTTTGTCTCTCACAATTGTAAAGAAATTCTCTTATCTATATATAAAAATATATTATATTTGTGGGGATATATTTTTGAGTACCGACACGTGGCAAGGTGACGCCGACGTGTCAGCTGAGGTGCCACGTGTCAAGGTCATGACGCCGAGGTGATCTCGGGTAAGCCGAGGTTATCTCCGAAGATATCGGAATCCGAGATAATCGGATAAAGGATAAGGGACAAGAGTCCTAGAATGAAGAGGAGACTTAGCCAAGATAAGGATAAAACTCTTAGAGAGTTTATCTTTATCTCTTGAGGAGTCCAAAGTAAGTACTGAATAGGAATCCATAGAAGTCAGGCTTCTAAATGGGATTTGGATGGAGATAACTATAAAAGAGAGGCACCCCCATGGGTCTAAGGTATACAATTTATGCTTTGAGCATTAAGTTTAGCATTATTGATTATCTCTGAGAGATATACTGACTTGATCGTTGGAGTGCCCCCTGGTGGAAGAACCACCACCGGAGCCTTCTCTTTCTGTTACAGGTTAGCTGAAGCCATCTATTCTACCGGCGCTCTCTAGCTGATTACTAAACGGGCAGTGTGATCAGAAAATCACTCACACAATTTGGCGCCGTCTGTGGGAACTTAGAAGAATAGATGGCCAGTAACGGACAGAAGGAAAAGATTGGGGACGACACTCCTGCTGGGAGTGGCAGATCAATCGACCTTGATATTGAAGGAGACAACCACAATGCAGAAACCCGTGACCAGGGCCACAAAGAGAAAGACGTCGGCCAGGAGGGCGACACTTCGAAGAAGACAGACCAAAGCAAGTACTATAATGAAGATAACCTCCAGGTATGGAGGGATAGGTGCCTGTGGAGTGATGAAGAAGTAAAAGAATTGGCAAACAAGTTGGCAGACCTGCAGTCGGTCGTCAACTTTATGATGCAAAACAATGTCATGCAGCCACCGTACCTGCTGCACGACACGCCAATTCCAGCAACTAATACCCAGAAGGGAGGAAGGAAAACAATTCCCGAAACCCCTCAGCACACCAGAAGCGGAAGGCACTCTCACCGACCTTCCAGGGAAGTCGGATGAGAGGAGCCTGTAAACGTCCCCGAACGTCCCGGGAGGAAATCCCCCCCGTTTTGTTCATTGGGCTCACTACAGTTCAGGACTCAAAGTCACGGTCCTATATCTAATCTCGCAGAGTGCAATGCAAGACCGATGAATCATCAAAGAGTCCAAATCCGGAAAATCGTTTTTGAAAACAGATTTTTTTGAAAGAAATACCAAACATGGACTGCTTTGCCAGATACAGAGTCGCCACCTAAATATTTTATTTTGGAAAATTTAGGAAACCCTGACTCGTTGCCTAAGGCCACGTGTCCATCATCACCAAAGTTGCCTCGGCTCGGGAACTTGGGTACGATTGGGAAAGGTCACTTCGTGAGCACCCCCGCTCGCCCGATCAAAGATCGGCCTCTACTAACCATGATATCGGGTTTTGAAAACACTATGCGTTCTTATTCCAGTTATTAGCCTAGATTTACTATGTGGTACGCACAACATACAAATATAGACCGGATCACCTGAATTGGAACAACACATCTCGTGTTTGTTTTGAAAATGGTTTACTACTCGCAAGTAGGCTTAAAATGCAAATTTTGCCACCCTCAGGTGCGCTTTGAAAAACATGGTTTTGCCACTATCTAGTGGGCTTAAAACTCACATTTTAATGAATTATTCCAATTCAAATAACCCAACCTTCACCCACAGGCATTCAGGCAGTTATATCACATAAGCACATAGCCTCATGGTAAGCATGCAATCATGGCAGTCATTCACACGCATGCAAGGATGCTAAAGCATAAAACTTACCGAGTACTCCAAGCCAAAACAGAAGCTAATTAGAAATCCATGCATGATCCTAACTATACAGAAATGCCTAATGCAACACATGCAAAAATGCAACTACAATAGACTCGGCTATTCTAAACATGGCATATGATGATGCTACAGCTAACAAGTATTCAACTCGGAATTGAAATACAAATGCAGTTAGTATGGTGCGCCGAGCCCGGTGCAGGCAAGACAGATGAATGATGCCAACATGCAAGCATAAGTATGCTAATTGAAACATGCCCTAATCTAACCATCATAAGCTGGTAAATAAAAGGGAGAAAGACGTGGGGTTGGAAGACATACATCACACTCACGCACACTTATTACAACATTGCCCTCGCTCGGAGGGTCCGAAAGAATAATACAGTCCGAATAAATACAAAATCCTAATTAATTAACAAATTAATCTAGGAAAGCAGGTAAATTAGCACGCAAATCCATGGACCGCCTCAACTCTGTTCCAAATGATGAATGATGCATGCTCAAGTTGCCTTGCGCAGAAATCCATTATGATGCCCCGGTTTGCCTCTGTTTGCAATTGTTTTCGGAATATTGCGCAACGCTCCAGAAGGCCGCTGATCGCTGATTTCTGATTTACTGCAACAGAGAGCAACAAAGGGGCATGGCAAAGTATTTCACATATGTATGCATGACTACTCTTTAGGGAGTGTAGTCATCGATCCTCGTGCCACCAATCACGCATATCGATGCATGATGGCCGAGGAGTCGAATTGCACGACTCAATATCAAATGAATGCACATGAAAACACAACAAGACCTAAACACCATCATGGGTAATCCGGAGTGTCGGCGACAGGGAATTGAGACACGTTCCGTCACTCGGAGTACGAAACGTCCCTCGTTTCCCGTGCTTGGCCTAACTCCTATCCCAAACACAATGCAAATGAGATGGCATACACAATGCGACTAACATACAACCTAGCATACGCGATGCTATGAGATGGCAGATACAATGCTCGATGTAACATGGCATACACAATGCACTAACACGCAACCTAGCATACGTAATGCTATGAATTGAAAAGGCATACACAATGCATAATGGACTTACACCAACATGAGTGGACCTCAACCACACTCACATCAGTAGCCATTAGATGAAAATGAGACAACCGAAATACGTGCACACATGCACGCAAATCGAGAACCGAACCTAAGGCACAACATGCAACTCTAACAAGGCATGGCAAGGGATGAAAGATGGCATACAAACATGTAATTTTCAGCACTGAAACATGATGCCAAATGGTCCCGAAACATGGAAATATGGCACCCGATGCATGAAACAAACCCCGAAACCCAAAGCTAGGCACATGTATTGACTTATGACTATGAAAAGCAAGCGTTATTTGATCATGAAGCACAAAGACAGAGCCAAGGTAGTCCCAAAACATGCACATTTCTAGTTTAGAGCATGGCCAAAAGGTGCTAACATGATGGACAAAAATAGCATGCAAATTCGACTAGCAAGCATGGTTTACATGGCGTGTATATGAAGCGTATGAGAACTCATCAAACCAGCCAAAAATAGTGAATAAAACATGACAAAAGATGCCCAAATAATCACTGAAATGCAGCCAATACATGCAAAAATGATGAGCTCCTTTAGAGGGCCATACAAGGGGTTATTAAGCACATACAAGATAGACACGTAACATGGAAAACCACCTTTGGAAATGAGTTATGACAGCCCTAAAACTCACCAAAAATGCCCTGAAATTAACCTAGGAAGCATGCAAATGAAAGACCCTTTGAAAGGCCTTGAGTGAGATTGTTCTACACATGCATCATAGACATAAAATATGACAAAATGGGCTCCGAACAGAGCTTATGCAGACCATAAAAATCACAAAATGAGGCCTGAAACATGACTTCAATGCATGCAAAATAGAGTCCCTTTGGAAGGCCAACAATGCTAGTAAAGAGAATGAGGGGTGAGAGGGTCACCCCTCTATGATTTTGGAGCTCAAAGACACATCAAGGCCACTGAAAATCCACTGGATTTCAGTGGCTAAGAGGCCAAAACAAGGCCAATGCAAATGCTCACATGCATGGCTCAAAACATGGGGAAATGAAGCATGCAAGGAAGAAAATGACTCCAAATAGAAAAATAACCTCAATCAAACTTAAAGAGGAGATCAAAAATTTTTTTTTCCAGTTTATAAAAAA